CACTGAACTGTACACTTAATGATGGTTAAAATGGCAAATTTTATGTTATATGTAAAAAATAAAAAATCAAATGATAGTGGTAGAATTTTTCCTTGGGAATGTTTTTTTGTTTTTGTTTAGCCATCTTAAATATATTCCTCCATTTTGTCTGTTTGGATTCTTTTTACATTTTATTGGTCTAGAAAATCTAAAAGTTTGGAGGCTCCTTCATTATACACCAGTGAGAAAGTAACCAATACCAAGACTGGTTGTTTTGTAAAATCCAAAACTTATTTATTTTTAAAAGGCCAACTCAGACTCATAGCACCTTTTCTTTTCTATTATCTCTATTTCCTTAGCAATGAACTGCCCCCCGCCATGATTCCACTTTTAATAGAACTAAGAACAATAGGTAATATTCCCATACCATATTTCTAAACTGTTGTTCTGCAACTATTTGTTTTGTCCTATTGTTTAAAAGATTTCCTCTAAATTACAGAGTGACACAGAGATCAGTTGTTCAGTCATGCCATTGCTTTCATAATTTGGTGAAACTGAATGATGTCCTCTAGACTTCACAGCAGAATTCATAAAATAATAATGAAGCCCTGCTGTTTCCCCTGGAGACAACTGTGGTCTTGAAGGTCATCAAATCTTTTCAAGTCAATGTCATTGACACTCACTAATAAAAATGTGAAATTCCTGTAACTTACAGATAGACTTTTTTAAAACTTCAGTGTCCCTAAAATGAGCACATATATGCTGCTTAGGTTTTTCTAATTAAAGAAAAATTTTAAGGGATAAGCAAAACTCATTCTGATGATCAAGGTTTATTTTTATCTTTTGCATTTGATTTGCTTTTCAAGTGCCCTGTTGATTGAATAGTTTGGATTTAAACATTAATTTCAAACTAGTTCACGTTTTTGAATCCAAGGATGAGATTCAAAACTTACTCTAGGCACGACTGTGCAAAGTTTGTCTTCAGCATTATAGGTTCCCTTTGTTCCTGCCCTCCCCATCTCCGGCTTAGTGTGTTTCCTGGCTGATCCCTGTCATGACAACCTGCCAAAGGCAGCTGGATACAAACCTAAAGCTCAATGAGCTCATGACATAAGCCTGTCACTCAAACAGCCAAGCCCTACCAGAGCCTGCAACAGAACCCTGACTCAATGGCCAGAGCTCCTTCCTACATCTTACCTGCTCTGCAATAGGCCACTCCCACCAGCAGTGTTCAATGCTTTATAATCTGCAGTGTTGAGCTTCTAAAAGCAAGCAAACTAATAAAATGCATTGTTCTAAAGGTCATGTTGGGGATCTAGGTTAATGAACATTAATGGCCTTCAGTCACTCAACGTGTTATACATTACATATTTTTCATAGGGTTTTTTGAATTTCAGCCAGGGCTTCTGGCATCTATTACCTCAACACCCCAGCTGTCCAAAAAATAAGAATGGTAGAAATTTATACATTCTAGCAGTCTTGTTAGAAAAATTATTTTGTGGGAAGCCAATGGATTTTTGGTGTCTGCTTAGTTCTCACCATCCTACCACATAAGTCATCATCTACTCACAATGCTAGAGTATAAGTAAATAGTACTTTAAAAAAATCAGAAGTTTATACTTCTAAAACACTACAAGATGATTTATAGTTAACCTCGGAAAAAAATTAGAAGTTTCAGTCCCTTAGACAAGACTTTTGATCTGTGCTTTAACTCTTTAATTTATAAAACACTCAGGCCTTGTATTCATTCTGGAATACCTTATGATTATGCTAAACCACACAATAATTTCCAAGTTTCCTATATAACACAGGTGGCTTTGTATGTATTTTTTTACTCCACATGGAGTAAATAATGGAACCATGGAAGGTTAATGTATGTCAGAATTGTATGCAACATCAGGCAGTATCATACTGGAAAAATATAGTGGAAAAACGATGCAGAGTAACACCTTGGTCAGCTATTATTTTAAGTGCTTTCAGTGTCTCTTATGTCAACTATACATAGTAGATATTACTATCTCTAATTCACATATAAAGAAATTGAGGCTTAGGGGTTACACCCCTTGCTCAAAGCTAGACAGCTAGAAACCTGAAAAGGTGAGGTTAAAACAAGGTCTCTGATACATCAAAGCCCTTGTTCCTAACTACTGTAACACCCCCTTAACCCAATCCATTTGGGCATTAGCTTTGACTTTAAAGTAAAAAGCATGAGAGAATCAACAATCCAATCCATAAAAATGGGCAGAAGACCTAAATAGATATTTCTCCGAATAAGACATAAAGATGGACAAGAGGCACTTGAAAATATGTCCAACATTGGTAATTATTAGAGAAATGAAAATCAAAATTACAATGAGATATCACCTCACACCAGTCAAAATTGCTACCATCAAAAAATCCACAAACAATAAATGAAGCACTGTTACAAGCCCTAAGCCATGGAAACAACCTAAATACCCAACAATAGAGGAATGCATAAAGAAGATGTGGTATATATATACACAATGGGATATTACTCAGTCATTCAAAAGAATGAAATTATGCCATTTGAAGCAAAATGGAAGGACCTAGAGATTGTCATTAGTGAGACAGTAAGACAAAGAGAACTATCCTTATGATATCACCTATATGCAGAATCTAAAAAGAAATGATACAAATGAACTTAATTACAAAACAGAGACAAACTCACAGACTTAGAGAATGAACTTATGGTGGAAGGGTAGGGAAGAGGGATAGTTAGGGAATTTGGGATTGACATGTACACACTGCTATATTTAAAATGGATAGCCAGTAAAGATCTACTTTATAGCACAGGAAACTCTGCTCGATATTAAGTAACCATCTCAATAGGGAAAGAATTTGAAAAAGAACAGATCCATGTATATGTATAACTGAATTCCTTTGCTGTATACCTGAAACTATCATAACATTGTTAATCAATTATGCTCCAATATAAGATAAAAGATTAAAAAAAAAAAAAACTTGAGAGAATCAGGAAACCAACTTTTTGAAGGTCTTATATGGGCTTCCCTTGTGGCCCAGCTGGTAAAGAATCCACCCGCAATGTGGGAGACCTGGGTTCAACCCCTGGGTTGAAAAGAGCTCCTGGAGAAGGGAAAGGCTACCCACTCCGGTATTCTGGCCTGGAGAACTCCATAGACTGTATAGTCCATGGGGTCTCAAAGAGTCAGACACGACTGAGCGACTTTGACTTCACTTCCATGTCATGTCTCAAGTCCCATCATGGAAAGACCCAGCTCCAGGTGTCCTCCCAAGGTACTGGGTAGATCCATGTAGAGCCTCAGGCATGGCTGAGCAACTTACTAAACAGCACTTTTTCCTCCTCCCAGAAAGATGACACTAGAAATATTTAAGTAGAACATGGGTGTGGTCATTGAGGATATTGCAGGTTGGAATATCTTACATACAGTAGAGCTGAATAGATTCACCTGTTATGTCTTATGAATCTGTGGGCCTAAATAAGAAGACGAAGAGAATCAAAGGAAATGCTTAATGAGCTGGATTTTTTAAGCCAGGATATTTTAAGCTGGATAATTAAGCCACTATTCTTTCATTTTTAAAAAACTATTCAAAGTAGGGCACTGATGGCTTTAGAAGTGGTTAAACTATTCCATTTCTGAAGATTAGAGCTGACGTAAATTAAATATGCTTATTTTTTAATATCTTGATTGCTTTATACTAAAAATGGAATCAGTGTGTCTATTCTTGGACACTTTATTTTAAAATCTGAAAGTTACATATGCCATTAAATAACTAAGTTTTGAGATCTGTCTGGAGATGACCAACTACTTTGCCTGATGACCTGTATACGACTAACGATTCATGACCAAGGTTGATTCAGAACCTCGAGCCTAAAGAAGGAAAGACTGCCTAAAAGGCAGCTTTCGCAGCCTTTGAAAGCTGTGTGTAGATGAGAGGGTATGTGCATCCAGGAGTTCTTATAGCGCTTTCTCATTTTCAAAGCTTGCATATTCTCAAGAGAGCTCATCAAGGTCATAAGCACAATGAGCGAACCAGGGGGAACCCCAGAGAAAGCCAAGATCTGAAAATAACAACTGGCTATCCAGAGCCTGGCAGCCCTGCTGATTTGGCAGGCTGGGAATATCGCGGTGCTCTTGGGAAGGCAATAAAGTCCTTGGAGGAAGGAAGCTAAAGGGAAAGTCAAGGCAGAAGTGAAGTGAGAAGATTCTGTAAAACCAAGACACAGAAAAAGCAGAGGCACAGCAGAAGGAGATTTAAAGGAATAAAGAAACAAACAACTATCTGGTTAATTAGAAAAGAAATATAACTTTTGATACACTTTTACCATTCAAAGTTTGAGAAATATATTTCAAAATCTGGAGTTTTTTAAAAAACATCCATTAAAAATGCCTTTCTGAGGTCTAGACTTTGTGTGAAAATAAAATACATACATGTTGCTTGAAATGCGCCAGAATGGCATATCACAGATGTATATCTGAAGGCAGAGATGGTAGAACATTCTAAGTTCTTTGGCCAGAACAGTTCAATGAACATTAATCTGTTGCCATAAACTTTTCCCTAAATACAATACAGGCTTATTGTATTAGAAAGTTCAGCTGAGGAAAGATCAATTTATCCAATTTGAATTTTTGGGTTTATATAGATGAAATAATTACGATTCCCCATCACTTCTCTTAGTCTTATTTCTACATTTTTATATTTAAATATAGAAGAAAAAAGGAATTTATGATGACATCCTCAAACTTCAGATGACTATAGAATCTTACAGCCAGTATTTCTCATTGATTGTCATGTACAACTTTCCCTTTCTTCAGTGGCTTAAATGACATGACTATCTTATAGAACCCCACTAGGTACTAGAGGTACCTTTCTCTGTAATTTAAAGGAGGTCACTGCTCAACAAGGCAGAGAAGCTTATCTTCAATGCTACTCTTCACCAGATACCCTCTATAGGTAGTATATTTAATATTATAAAAGTCTAAAAGCATATTAATTTTTTCTCTTTTTTTCAATTACAGCAGAAAATGGCCCCCGTCTACTGGTGGAAGCAGAACAAGCCAAGGTGTTCTCACACAGAGGTGGCAATGTTACACTGCCATGTAAATTTTACCGAGACCCTACAGCATTTGGCTCAGGAACCCACAAAATCCGGATTAAGTGGACCAAGCTAACTTCAGATTACCTCAAGGAAGTGGATGTCTTTGTTTCCATGGGATACCACAAGAAAACATATGGAGGATACCATGGCAGAGTGTTTCTGAAAGGAGGCAGTGATAATGATGCTTCTCTGGTGATCACAGACCTTACTCTAGAGGATTATGGGAGATACAAGTGTGAGGTGATTGAAGGATTAGAAGATGACACTGCTGTGGTAGCATTAGATTTACAAGGTAAGTATCGTGTTAAACTTAGGAATGATAATTAATCACTGCTTTTTTTTCATGACAAGTAATGTCCAGTGGTTACCCCAGTGCTGATGTGAGAAACCAAAAGTCCATGTAAAGCATGTTTTACTGTAATTTGCAGTCTGTCTACAATTCAAGCTTTCATATTTGAAATTTATACACAATGGTTATATGCAAAATTGAAGCTATTTGCAAGTAGAAGAAATGTGCAATGTAACTGAATTAACATTATTCAGGAACTGCCTTATGCCATTCAAAATTTAAATCTCATTACATAGTTATTAAGAAATGCAGAGTGGAAGCTTTTTATTATGCTTCTAAAATTGTCTCAGTTTCAAAATAATGGCAAGTTTGTGAAGGACATCTGCTAACTAAAATAAATTTAGTTGTATTCTGTAAAATAACTGTGAAAACTTAGTTTAACAAAAAGTAACCTCTAGATGTATTTAAATATTCTTGGAAAGAAGTAAATTTTTTAATGGTCCAGAGTCTCCTAGACACTGAATAGCAAATGGTCAAGGCATTTTGGAGGAAGTTTTATTTCTTAAATATGCAATACGTTCAGTAGGTTCAGCTTCCCTGGTGGTTCAGAGAGTAAAGAATCTGCCTGCAATGCAGGAGACCCAGGTTTGATCCCTGGGTAGGGAGATCCCCTGGAGAAGGGAATGGCAACCCAGTCCAGTATTCTTGCCTGGAGAATCCCATGGACAGTGGAGTCTGGCAGGCTACAATCCATGGGGGTCACAAACAGTCAGGCATGACTAAGCAATTAACACTCTCAACACTCTGAGTAGGTTCAAAGACCAAAATGTATACAAAGCTAAACAATAAAATGTGCCATCTTGTCTTGCCTCTACCAAAGCCCTCTACGCTTCCCCTTAGTTGATGATATACCTCTAGACACTCTTCATTCATGAATTTGAGCATTTCTTTACGTGAGAGAACAAATTTGGACTGCATTAATGGAATAGTCCTTCCTTATGTAAACCATAGGTACGTGTTTGCTATAAGTTCCTTTTACATTCTGGGACAGATTTGTGGCTTTTGGAAAAATATCTATTTTGTCCACTAGCATACCACTGAAGATGCGACCTTCTGAATCCGATAGAGTACCATTACATGCGTACAGATTATCAGCTTTGTGTGTCTGATACATTGCTTGATGTTGTAATGTGCATTTTTGTGACCTTTTCTTATCTGTGGTTCTTGGCTCCTGATTGCACACCACCTTATACTTAGAGTGTTTATTGATTCACTGTAATATCTATGAACACTAGCATTATTAAAGATGAAAGAAGTAGTTGGCTTAGAGAAGACAGTAATCATCAAATATTAATTGAGGGTCACTTTCTGGTATCAAAGGGGCATCAGGCAATAGAAACTAGGAGGACTAAGATGCCTATGTTAGTCCCAGTTTGGTCAGTATATGTTTTGCAACCAAATCAAGTTACTTCTCCATATTGTACATTAGCTTCCAATCTATGAACAATAGCTTGAACTATATTATCAATTGTTAGTTTTTCTTCTTAAAGTCCATGTTTATATACCACAGTATTCCCCAAACTTAAGTAACTCATATGCCATATTTGTTATCTCCTTATACTTACTTAACAATACACTTTAAATAAATAGAAAACAATATAATTTGCCAGAAATAGAAGGAAACCAGAAAAATAAGTACAATGAATATAAGGTCTTTCTAAATTATAACTGCTTGATGATGGCTTTAAGTATGAAGCCTGCTGTCTCTTTGAAAAGGAAATTTAGCACATTTTAGAGGATAATACACTCAATAGTCGAACTGAGACTTCCTTTAAGACACACTTAGATATGTTGAAGGGGAATTGTAAGAAGAGTAATTTTTCCTTTACAAGCCCTGCACCTTCCCAAATCTCCATGTTTTCCATGCTTTCAGGATACTTCTTTACCATATAACTTATACGCATAGGAGCTAAGTAAATGTGCCCAAGAAACCAATTTAATTGATAAATATTTTTTAAAGTGCTGTTGTTGTACCATGAGAAACAAAAAATTCTAAAACATGGTTCCTTTCATTCCACAATTTTATAGTCCATTAAAGATTCTAAGGTACTTTCAAAAGTAAGTACTTTAAAATAAGGTGGAACTTGTTAAAAATACGTGGGTACAAACAAATTGCTCTCATCATATGCATATTTATTTTGCTCACTTTCAGTAATACCCCTGGACAGCTGAAACTTAGGGAAAACTTTCCAAAGGTAACATGGTTAGGAGTAAGAGCTAGGACTAGATTTGAGTCCAAGGGCACTCAATGAAGTCATTGCTTTTATCTACTATGATCTGGGGGTTTGCAGTAAGGAGAAAGTTTTTTGGGGGGTAAAAGAATAGAGGTTCCAGAAAGGCACTGGTGTTTGGCAGCCTCAGTTCTTCTGAAGCTTTCTAAAGATTCTTAAAGGCCCCAGAGTTATTTGGGAGATGATCAAGGGACTATCTTTTAGTCATGCTGCATTAATTGGTGTGTGTGTCTATTACAGCTGCTAAATCCCCTTCATTGCAGAGTGTTCTTCCATCCTCTTGTGTACTATAGCAAGAGTAGAAACAGTCATTAACCAGAAGATCTGCCTTGAAGTGACTGACAGTTCCACATTTAACATTATCTATATGAATCCATTTCTGAACAACTACAGACAATACAATCCTTCAAAAATAAGATCGAAGACCAATGCTACCCTGAGCCCTATCCCCTCCACCCCCAGCTATGATGTTCTCAGACTACAGATTTCTACTGTAACTCTAATCACATTTTTTTTGGTAAATATTTGCAAACTTGTCCAACTTCACTTTCCACCTTCTAAATGGAATATAATGGTCATCTGAGTTAAATTCACCCATTCCAGTCCATTTTAGTTCACTGATTCCTAAAATGTCAATGTTCACTCTTGCCATCTCCTGTTTGACCACTTCCAATTTACCTTGATTCAAGGACCTAAGATTCCAGGTTCCTATGCAATATTGCTCTTTACAGCATCGGACTTTACTTGTCATCAGTCACATCCGCAACTGGGCACTGTTTTCACTCTGGCTCCATTTCTTCATTCTTTCTGGAGTTGTTTCTCCACTCTTCTCCAGAGGCATATTGGGCACCTATTGACCTGGGGAGTTCATCTTTCAGTGTCATATCTTTTTGCCTTTTCATATTGTTCATGGGGTTCTCAAGGCAAGAATACTGAAGTGGTTTGCCATCCCCTTCTCCAGTAAATAGTTTATAAGTGAGTGAATGTTTGATATAATGGTTTTATACTTTCAATACAAAAAAGCCTGCATGCAAAGGAAGGGCCATGCAATGGAAAGCACTCTAAAGGAAGAGACACTTGATATGGACCGTGAGAGGTGAACCTGGTACCTTCATAGCATAGAAAGCATGACAAAATGGGGAAGAGAACATCACAGGTTGAAAGAGAAACTCTTCAAAGGCCAAAATGTGAGTAACAGATGCCACAGGTAGTTAGCATCCAGTTTGACTGATTTAAGGTTCAGCATGGCTATAGGGTGGGATAAAATTTTTTAACTTTTCATTATCACCAATTTCAAATGTTTGAAAAATGAGAAAGACTATGATGAATAGTATAACATGCCTCTATATATAATCATCCAGCTTCAAAAAGTGTCATCAGATAGCCAATCTTACTTTAGCCTGCTTTATCTACTCCCACTGAATAATTTTCAAGAAAAATCCAGGATATTATTTTATCTATATATTTCAACTTGAGATAAGACTTCATTTTAAAATAAAACTACAAAAATTTTAACGATAGCCACAGTGCCATCATAGAATAAAATCTGAGGAACCATGATTGCTAACTAAGGACAGACACTATGAGGGACTTGACAATTTCTACCTAGTCTTAGGTAGATGCTCACAGTGCAGCAATTATATACATAAGAATTGGAAGGCTATGGTAAACCACATGCAGCAGAAGTGATACCTTGTGGTTATCATTTATTAGCTCTTATTCCAGGTTCTGACCTTTTTTCACTATCAGTTACATCCTTACATAGGGTCATCACCCAATCAGGCAAGTTCTGCTTAAGCTCCTTGTCAATCTTCTAACATGCATAAATAAGACCAGGGAAGTGTATCATTTTAAATGTCATAATTAAGCTGCCTTTCCAACTGTAATTGTGCAATGTCTTTAATCATATTGGCCCTTTAATACCAGATTAAATGCTATGTCGCTCAAAGAATTTTCCCAATTAGAAAAAAATCATTCTATTTCAAGACGCCAAAATTGTATGGTTTGTATTTATAAGATTCTATTCTGTCTTGGAGTCAGAATAGACTTGTGTGTGTGTGTGTGTGTGTGTGTGTGTGTGTGTGTACACACACAATCATAGATTCTTTGTAGAAAGACACTACACCCCAAACTCAAGGTATCCTAGAGTACTCAGTATAATGCCTGCTCTTAGTTGTATTTTAAAGTCTGTTTTTCAAATCACACTGATTTTTTTTTTTAAAGTAAACCCTTTTGAAACACTGACCTACATATGAGTTGGAATTAGCTGTGGAAACATAATTTTTTTTCATACAGAATCTTAGATAGGGTAAAGCCCTGTGATTACTACCAAATTACCCACACTGCTAGAAACAACATCCAGCAAGAGATAAGCCTTATATAACAAGGAGAGTGTCACCAGAAATTCATGAGTAGCTTGGCCTACAGAATTCATTTGAGTAATCGATAAATATATAGATAATGATATGAGAAACATATTTGTACTTCCAATCTCCCACTGTATTGGTCTTCCACTGATGAAAATAGGGCCAATTCACAAAAATATGGTCCGAGAACTTTTAGAAATAGAAAGCTAATTTCATTTATGTATGTAATACTGAAAGGCATTCTGAGAGGTACTGTGGAAAATAAAATTGTTCTGCATGGCCTCTACCTTTTTATTATTAAACATATTTTCTTTATGGAGTTACTGAAATTTCCTTTAGCTTTAATATGCACCATGGCATGAAAACCTTTCACATATCCAACAAATTGATATTTGCCAACAACTAAGATGAACTGGACTGTGCAATTATAAGTCTTAAAGAATGTGCTTTTAAAACATATTTCAATTCACTAAACTACTCACATCACTTGATATTATCCTTTTCCATGTGACGGATATTTCTCATTAATCCCCTTTGTAGTAATGCATACCAGCCTTTCAGAGAAAAGTAAAGAGCTTTTGATTATATTTTGACATATAAGTATAAAATAATCATACTTGGAAAATAATCATATACCTTTCTTTCTCACTCATGAAAGTTTAACTTTTCTTATTTTTGTAATGCTGGATGAAAGTAATCACCATTTGCTCCATAATTCAACTGTAGGAATTGCACATTTTTCCACAGAGCCAAGAAAGTTTCTGCAGTTATAGTCTTAGATGTTGAAATCTTAACTAGCTGGAAGTAAAACAAGTAAATAAATAAAATACTAACAAACATGTTCCAGAAATGCCCCCATTTGTACAAAACATCTGATTGTTGAAATGTGTACAATAAAGTGAAACTTTTAAAATGTTGATGAGGATGTGGAAATTGACCTTGATTTACTCAGAATTTGTTCTTTCCAGCATCAAATATTGATTAAAATCTGCTAAGTAAATTTTTTGAGTTACTATAAGTTGACCATTTACTCTTACCATTGAAAAAGAGTGAAATTTTAATATAGGGTTACACTTTGACTTTGAGAAATGATTGCATGAAATTATGTTAAATGTAAAAGGAACTCAAAAATATATTACACTGTTTTTGGAACTAAATCAAACATAATTCAATGGTTAATCAAGGACAAATGACTACAGAAAAAATTTCCCCAATGCCTATGGGAGTTCACCAAATCAGTCTGGTGAATTAAAACTTGAGAGGTTGCCTAGGTCTTTAAAACTATTACAAATTAAAATAGCCTGCTTTCTCCACTGTTACCATCTTGAGCTTTTGGGAAATGGGGGGAATTCAACCTAAATTTAGGTTCGTATACATTGAGATTTTCTCTCACTTAAGGTCTAGCTGCCAAGGAAAGCTCTACTGGAAAAATGAAATATTTTCTTTTCCATTGGCATTCCTGGGCTTGCTGAGAAAAGAGGACGCAAAGCGTGAGGGGACTGAGAACACTGAAGTGGCTCCTTCTCAGCACTGACTGGGCTCTTAGCTGGATGCCTGAGCACAGCCCTTCTTAGAAGGAGTTGCCTCCAGGCCTTCCCCACCCCCATCCCCCCTTCTCTACAGGGGGCAAAGGCAACCAAGAGAGTCTTTTCCTCCTTACTTTTGGCTCCAATTCAGTTTACAGATCTCTCAGCCAAGAACCTGAGAAGGCAGGATGAGATCAGGAAGCCTTCCTGGATCTCTGCCTCTAGTGGAGGGTGCCAGCTGGACTGCCCTGCAGGGACAAATGTGTCGTGCAGAGGCCTTCAGTGGACATGACTTGATTTAGGCTCTTGAAATTTCTTCCTGTAGAATCTTCCAGGACAACTGATAAAAGAAAACATTTTCTGTGCAACTGGTCACACTATCGGTAGATTGTGCATCCATTTTGCACAAGGTCTGCAGTCTCGTAAAATAGCACATTTGGTATAATCCACCAAATTACTGCGTGAGTCAGACAGTTTTTTACATTCCACATGCTAAAATATGAATTATTACTCATCATAATAAAAAATTCAAGGCAAGATTAATTTTCTTTTAGCAACCATGGAGGAGACATTTTGACTCAGTGGTCTTTCATAAAGTCCAACAAATGATACAACTTTGCTTTTTTATGATGCAACCCTTATTCTTTAAAGAAATTGTGCAGAAAGTTGTGAGACAGCTCAATCATCTCCTATAATAATCTGATTTGAACCAACCTAAAGAAATGCTTTGGAAAACTGTTGCATATTCCCAGGCAAAGTCAAGTAAGCACCAAGTGCTTACATTTACTAAGGGGTTTTGTCCTCTAAAATATTTAATTCTTTGGCAGTCCTTTTGGCAGATATCTAAATTGTACCTACCTTGTATAGGACAAACTTCTAAAGGCTTTTGTTTTCTATTTGCAATATCAATGTTTAGAAAGCTTAGTTTCAGTTTGCAATGTATGAATATGGAAGCTGAAAAATAGTAATAGAAATATTTAAAAATTAAAGCTTTTATTTTAGTCATATTGTTCAAGGAAAGAAAAAAATAAGATTAAGTTAAGCTACAGTAAAAGCTGAGACAAATGAATAGGAGAGCCAGGATGCTTTTTATGGAAGTGCCTCACTGTATAAAATTACCCTATTACTATGAAATGACTGCTTAATTAGGTTTTTGTTAGATATGCAAAAGGTAAGTTCACAGGGAGGGCAACTTGAAAACTATAATTTGCAGATGAATCATTTCAGAAAGGAGAATTGTGAGGCTTGAGTTGAATGCTTAGCAAAACAGGTAAATCACTGAAGTTACCAGACCAAATAGCTCATTGTGAAATGCTCAGAGTTGAGAAGCTATTTGAAGGGACATGGGACCATTAGAAAACACTGCAAACAACAAAAAGCTGCTACTTCATCTGATGATGATTCTGTTTTCCCCACCCAAGTGGGGTTTGCTTATAGTTCTTACTATTTGTGCCACTAATGAGTCCTTGCTTTCTCCTTTGGACAGGTGTAGTATTCCCTTATTTTCCACGACTGGGGCGCTACAATCTGAATTTTCATGAGGCACAGCAGGCTTGTCTGGACCAGGATGCTGTGATTGCCTCCTTTGATCAGCTGTATGATGCCTGGCGGAGTGGGCTGGACTGGTGCAATGCTGGCTGGCTCAGTGATGGGTCTGTGCAATATCCCATCACAAAACCCAGAGAACCCTGTGGAGGCCAGAACACAGTGCCTGGCGTCAGGAACTATGGGTTTTGGGACAAAGATAAAAGCAGATACGATGTCTTCTGTTTTACATCCAATTTCAATGGTAAGATATTAATCATACTACCTTGTTTGCTATCCCAGAGACCAATGCATACTATGATATGACGTTAAAATTTTAATCTTATCTACTTAAAAAGAGGAAAATCTTTGAAGCATTGCTTCATATAAAAGAAGGTCTGTAATATCATAATTTTTAAAAATCCACACAGATACCAAGCAAAAGTACATATTTCCATGATGCTCTGGTTTTATTGCATCCAACTGCTATTGTGAAATAGTTTGACTGTCATGTTTTATGGAGTCTTTTTGTTACTGCCAAAGATGCTGCCACTGAGTGCCCTCCATAGGATATAGATCTCTCCACTGAAGTAAGGATGGCGTCCGTGTCATGCTCTTCTTTAAATTACAATGTCAAGTTATTCACAGATCATCAGCAAAGCTTAGGACAGAGAGCTTGGATAAAGAGAGAGCTCTGATTAAGAGAATTTTGCAAGAAAATTAAGTAGAAATAACATTGGAGGCAAAAGCAGAAGTGAGAGATCCAGGTTGCATCAGTACTGATGACTGGTTAGTTGAATTCAGCACAACTCCCAACCCTATCTTGCTTCTTCCAGAACCAGTGATGTGACAGTGGGGCCTAGTACAAAATGAAAATGTGGCCTCCTTGCTAAAAAAAAAAATATTAAGAATTTTAAGATGACACAGTAGAACATTAAATCAAGCATGAGGCCCAGTGTAACTGTGCAGGTTGCAAACCCATGAGGCTGGCCCAGGTCCATTATTTTAGGTGCCTGTTGATATGCTATGGGGAAAACAGAAAGGGATCAGGGATCAACAAAAGGTCAGATAGTAAATATGTTTGGCTTTGTGGGCCATATGCTCTCTGTTACAACTACTTCATGTAACTTTGTATACTACAACACAAAAGCCACCATGAACAATCTTAAACAGATGGGTGGGCTGTGTTCTAATAAAACCTCATTGGACTCACATGCTATAGTTGCCAGCCTCAGGTACAGGTGATAGAACTAACCCTCTATTAATGCTCCCATGACCACTACCCGTGCTCCAAATTATACCCTTTTAGTCTAGAAAGAACTGACAAGCACTAATTTAGACTTCAATAATCTATATTTGAAGAGAGGCGGGAGGGTATCAGGGCTTCCTTGATAGCTCAGTTGGTAAAGAATCCACCTGCAATGCAGGAGAACCCAATTCGATCCCTGGGTCGGGAAGATCCGCTGGAGAAGGGATAGGCTCTCCACTCCAGTATTCTTGGGCTTCCCTTGTGGCTCAGCTGGTAAAGAATCTGCCTGCAGGGTGGGAGACCTGGGTTTGATCCCTGGGTTGGGATGATCCCCTGGAGAAGGGAAAGGCTACCCACTCCATTATTCTGTATAACCCATGGGCTCCCAAAGAGTTGGACAGGGCTGAGCGACTTGCACTTTTCAGGAGGGTATCACATGACAGTATGTAACCTGGTAAGAGTCTGATCCCATTCTACCTGAAACTAAAAGTCTGAGAAAATCTTGCACTGATAGGTGCCTATGACTTTAGTTAGTTGGTGTCATATTTTATACTTTTTATGCATATTTAGCACAAATTGAAGGAATCTAGGTAATGAACACTACTGAGGTAAGTGGTTGAGCTAACTTGCTCTTTTTTTGTGAAATCAAGAAACCGTTAGGTGTCAGAGCTCCCACAGAGGGAAGTTGGAAAAAACAACTAACTTCTTCCTCTCTGCTAGTGAGTGAACAGACTGGGTTCACATTCTAAGTCCGTACTATTTATGGCAAGTGACTTCCTGTATGTTTTGCATTTTCATACTGTAGTCTTTGAATAAGAATAATGCCTTATTGATACCTGTAATGAAAAGGACTTGAGGGCTTTTGATTTTTTTTAAATGGACTTTTCTGTCAGGAATGTTTTTTGATCCTTTTCACATTCAAATTTTGCCTCTCCAGAAACTTGTGCTGGGCTTCAGTCTTGCTACAGCTAGAATTTAAATAGCTCTTGCTTTTAACATGGAATTCTGTCTTCTCTAATGCTACAGAAGGGCCCTTTTAGCCACTAATTGGCTAACAGAGACTGCATCTGTCATTTCCCTTTTCTTTTTCACTGCTCTAAAAGGGCACATCTGAACACACATTGAGGGGCAAGGAAAAAACTAATTTAACGGCGAGAGATCTGGGGTTACGGCTTTAACTGACTAGCCTATGTTTCAGAACCTCGACAGACACTGCTTTATGTCCCCCTGCCTTGAGAAACACTTCCATTTGGGGCTCTTTCCGTCTCTCTTGGGCTGAGCTGCAGACAGGCCCACTGACCCTCTTTCCTTCTCTCTGCAGGCCGATTTTACTACCTGATCCACCCCACCAAGCTGACCTACGACGAAGCGGTGCAGGCTTGTCTCAATGATGGTGCTCAGATTGCTAAAGTGGGCCAGATATTCGCTGCCTGGAAACTTCTGGGATATGACCGTTGCGATGCAGGCTGGTTGGCGGACGGCAGTGTCCGCTACCCCATCTCTAGGCCAAGAAGGCGCTGCAGTCCTAGCGAGGCTGCGGTGCGCTTTGTGGGTTTCCCAGATAAAAAGCATAAGCTGTATGGTGTCTACTGCTTCAGAGCATACAACTGAATGTGCCCCTAAAGCACGGCAGTTTGAAAGTCATTAAGAACATGTGAAGTGAAAGGTTTTATTTTTTTTTCCAATATGAACTCATGCAAGTTACCAAAACTGTGATAACCCTTTTTTACTTACTGTAAAGAGTCATTTTCATAAAGACCAATTCATTAATTTGTTTTTGTAAAGCTATTATCATTCAATATATATTATAAATTAATATAATTTTAAGGGAAGCACTACATATGGAGGTTTTAGAGCCAAACTGTTTAGGCTACATCATCCCAATGAAGTATCCTTTCATGATCGGGGCATGCAATAGCTTGAGGATTGCTAGGATTAAACTAAGGAAAGTAAAGCTACTCAGAGCAGCAGCTGCCACAAGCACAAATTTTACACGTTTGTACAGTTTTGAAATGCACTACAATAAACAGATTAGAGCAACAGATTTGAAATATAGGCTTCTTTACATAAACTGAGGTTCTGAGAGGTTGCACAACACTTAGTTTCACAAGGGAACAATCTACACTTTTCTAAAATATTTCAAAGCTCCGATAGTCAGAATATTTTACTCTTTAAAATCCTGCCTTTTTGACCAAAAAAAAAAAAAAAAAATCAGATGAACTCCAATGTATAACAAGCACAGTTAAAACCCCTTTAGACTCCCATTTATATGAAGTATGAAACTAAAATAAGCAGATCATATTTAACCAATGAGAGATTCCTACCTTCTTCTAATTAAAATTATACATGCCTGAGAAGAACTGTTTTCTTTTGAGTAGCTTTACTGAAATATATTTAAATTCTAAGGGCCGTTTGCTAAGCAGCATTTAGCATCTACTCAGGGCAGTTATATAGATAAACTGCTGGACAGAAAAATTGTAAAATTTAGCAGCTTGATTTTATGTTAGCCTATGAATTGTTATTGTCCTATAAAATTAACTTTAAAATATTTAATACTTCCTTCTTATTTACATGACATGACAAAAATTTAAATCATAGAAGGAATAAATAACTATACTTGCCTAACCAAGATATAAGAACCCAACTTTCAGAACTCTTATTATTCCTATTTGTATAAGACTAGAAAGTCCAACTGGTGCCTGTGTTTGGGTAAAAAAGTCAACAAAGTAGTTTTAACCTTTCTCCATATAGAAAATGTGAACAGTGATGGATATCACTTTCTTGCTGATCATCATCAGGCTTAAATGAAATGCTGAAACTGTCAAAGAGTTTACACTAAAATCTTCAGGGCTTTATATGAAAGGGTAAGACCAGCTCCAAAAAACAACTTTCCCCATTAGCAGCTCCAATCTTAAATAAAGCTCGGTTTTCCTATATTTTTATGAGTGTTGAAACCCCACAGGGACCAATATTTGTATTCAAATTACATTTCATGGTTTCCCATTGTTTCACAATGAGTTCTAATAAATTGGATTTAGTATAATAATCCAAGTATGACATAGCTGATATGCTTTCATGAATGTTTTTATGTAGATTTTCCTCCCATGAACATGAGTAAATAAATCTGTTTCCTGAATTGATTGTGGTTGCCTTCAAAGCTCTGTAATAATTCTAATAAATTTACTCTATAGATGTAGAGTTATTTGTGTGGAAGGTATAGGACAATTGGAAGTCCATGAAACCATAACTATACTCATATATTATCTAGGCAGAATATTGTAAATAAAAATAGATCATTTCTTCTGTCAAAAGCATATCTGGAAATTTTCATATGCTTTACTATTAGAAGATGAGAATGTATGCATGCACATTTTTACAGTAGGTTGGATATGCAAATTGTACAAAAATATAAATCCAAAGAGATTATGAAGTTTAACTCAAACACTGCTGATACAAATAGAATTCAAACTCCTAAATTAAAAATACCTGAATGGTCTAAGATAAGATGAATATATTATTTAAAGAGGGACTATCTCTGAAACAGTGACTCTAGTACCTCAAAAGTGGGGGTCAGCTCACTGGAGGAAATCCATACTTGAATGATTATTACCCACGTTACAAGAATCTTATTGGAAGTACAAGTGGAAAAAAAAATTTCTATTGAAGCAGATATACAAACTCCAGTTACTGCTGCAAAACTCTACCTTTATAATATTAAGCATAGTAGCATTTCTTAACTTTTGAATACTTACTAGTATAGGAATTGGTGCTGATAAAAATCTTTGGAGTGACTGTTAGCTGACTAAAATCTAGACTGACTGCACACCATTTTTCCATGCTTGTTAAAAAAAAAAAAAAATCTTAACAGAATGAATACTGCTGGGCAGAATTTTTATCTTCTGACTTCCCTCAAAAGATCAGAATTCCCATACCCTTTTGGACTCCTCCTTGAATAAGAGTTTCTTTTTAATGTTCTTGTTTTGCCATTTTCACCAAATATCTATTTTCCTATTTCATTCCTCAAGGTATTTCACTGAGAATGTCTGAAAAAAAAAAGGTTATACTAACACAATTCCTAACGGAAAGTTGGTACAACACTAGCTAACACTGACTAATTCAACAATTGCTCCTCAGACTTGGGTACTAAGAACAACAGAGGGATGAGATGGGAGTCTGGCTAGGAAACCTTGTTTTGATCATTTTGTTCATAATTAACACTTGGCCCATTTAAGGAACAAAATATATCTGCATATTTGACTGACAAGCCTACATTTGAAAAATAGACAAAAAGAAATGATTCATATAAAAGGCAGTATACGAATGAAAACAAGTTAGTTACATTAACACTGGAAGCCATCTTTTACCAACTGCTGCCATGTTTTATCACAGTAATTTCTAGTCAAATACGGTATTTGTAAATTTAAACTTTCTCTCATAGAAAGGGGGCCGGTACCTATTAAAGTTTTATTTTATGCAATTATATAGTCGCTTATTATTTTGGCAATTAGAAGTAGTCTCAAAGGAGATTCCAATTTGGTTGCTGGCAGCCATACTGGGTTTCTTGATTTCAGTGCTCCAAAGAATACGGTGGTCTCAAGGAGTAGTTGACCACTAAGGAGGGAAGGATGAAAAGGGAATTACTTATTCATTCTCAGCATAGAATACATAAATAATGATCAGTGGATAAATGACATAGTTGTGTTGAGAAGTTAACTGTACCGTAGCTCACTACTGCCAGCACAGCAATGATGTACAATGAAAGAAATGAAAAATATAAAAGTCATTATTAAGCCACCTGATTAAAAGGAAGTCAGTATTTAAAGGCAGTTAATACCTACTGAGTACAAATCTGAGGAGAAGAACCATATCTGTATTACAAAAAAAAAAAAAAATGTTTTCATTTTCTGTAAGATACAATGAACTGGTAAACAAACATTAAAAGTCAATTTTGTGTTACTGCAGTATCTCTTGATTCTTCTGAGTTGTAGAATCTTAGCTATTCTTTGTGTCAAACCCCATAAATGCATTATTTCAAGAAAAGATGTTTAACTCATCCTTTTTCTGATACATTTGACTTCAAATTGTAAACACCTACCAATTCCCATTTTCTATATTTTGCAAAGTTAACAACAACAGCAACAAAAGGAATATATCTGTAGTGTTATTAAATCAGCAATAGTATTACCCCCAAATATACTGTTTATTTTTCTCTTTTTATATGATTCAAAGTGTAATTTATTTTGTTCATCTGGTTAGCAGTGCCAGGAATCTGTAGTATCCTTGAATAGATTTATATATTTAAGCTACATATGTAGCTACATTAAAAAAAGGTTTTTAATTTTCTTGCTGAAGTCCTTCTCAAGCACTTTATACTCCAATAAAAAAGAACATATTTGTTAATATTTCCATCCCTTCTGAATTTTCAAAGTGGAAGACAGTTTCTGGATATTTCTGGTATTTAAAAATGGATTCTTGAGTGCAAGAGTCTATTACTGGTGCAACAACTTGAATGCAAGCACATCTAAAACAATTTGGGTTACTGACATTCAAACAGAAAAGCTTACTTTAAATTTTTTCCCATACTTACTTGGAATACTTTGAACAACCTTGGAGAAGAAAGTCTAAGGGTAACATGAAATTAAACCATCTTTCTTTAATGTTTAAGTTTTCATACAGTTGAAAGGTATCATCTTAACTTTTCCAGCAGACCTCTTGTATTATGGCCAAGTCACACACAAACCTGCTTGGTACTAATACTGAAAGTTCCTATGGGTTTCCATAGTGCTTAAATAAAAACAAGTTCACTGTTCAGATGTGGTGCCCTTAATTCCCTATCAAGTGACAAGGCTTAATACTAAGACTGTTCTTGAGCAGAAGGGACTTTGTCCAGGATGATCAGATATGCAAGAATTGTTGATTAGTTATTCAGTTGTGTCCGACTCTTTGCAACCCCATGAACTATAGTCCTCCAGGCTCCTCTGTCCATCTTATTTCCCAGGCAAGAATACTGGAGTGGGTTGCCATTTCTTTCTCCACTGAATCTTTCTGACCCAGGGATCAAACCTGTATCTTCTGCATTGGCAGACGGATTCTTTACTGCTGAGCCACCAAAAAGTAAAGCATTACATTAAAGCATTACTGGGTAGTATGATTTCTTCAGCCCTTCATTTAGCATTATTTAGAGGACACAGCATAAGATGACTCTGGAGTCCTTATCTCTTGTAAGTGATGTATTTAGGAAACACAAAAGGCTACTTGCTCCAATCTTCAGGAGGAAATTCACTAAACACCNTTTTTTTTTTTTCACTAAAAGCAAGTGAAGCTTATTTTCTCTATATTTGTTTCACACCAATAAAGCTTTGTCACCTCCATAGCCACTCATCATCTGAGACAACCTGGGTCAGCCCAGAGAGTAGCTCCATGTCTTCTCTGAAATTAAACAATTTTCCTTCTCAGTTTATCCCTATCCACTGAAGTTGTCCAGTTCCACATGCCTCCATTATTAAAAGATGCCTCTTTCTTTCAGTTGGTGTCTGACTGCAGCGTGAGCTGTGTTTATTCAGGGGATTATTCTCAAGGTGGAGAGAAAGCTCAGATTCTTCATTTTCTAACGATGAACCTATTGGTTTGATCAACAAATATGAGATTCTCAGATGGTGGTAAATTCTAAGAATACCACATTCCCATATTTTTCTTTCTAAGTAAGGGGCTCAATTGGCAGCTCTTCATTCTGCTTGAAATATCTGGGGTTTTTGTTGTTTTTAAATTTTTTTTCACTATTTCTCCCTTTGATTTTAGTCAATGAAAATTTTGCCTGCCAAAATTCATACATATGAGTAGAAAACATATGAGTAGCAGGAAATTTTGAAGTTTTAAGTCTTTGAAAGGCCCTTCTTTGAAAATGCTGTGAATCTTACATGTGAATCTGAAACAAAACTGCAGAACCATTCATTTATTATTCTGATAAATAAACATATTCGCATGTAATGATTGCTGTGAGCCCAGGGAAAAGATAAATAAAGTACTTTGTGGCTCTGCTTGTCCTCGAGGTCAGCCAAACTGAACATCCTTGCTCCATGGGAAAGCACTTAATTCCTGTGCTGAGAGCCTAACTTCAAGTGGCTGAGAAGCAAAGTCTGTTGTTCTAATAGAAAAAAAAAAAAATGTTTTTTTAAAAACCAACCTTTCAGTTCAATATACATGAAAATTTACTAATATATTAAAGCAGTTGACAGCATATTAGAATCACCTAGGGAGCTTTAGAAAAACTTTGAGGCCTGGGTCTCTTTCCCATAGATCATGGTCAAAGGTGCAACTTGGACATCAGGATTGTTCAAATCTTCCCTCACAGACCTCTGGTAAATCTTAATATATAGTCAGGGTTGAGAAACACTGGTCTTAACAGACTTAGCAGGAAAAAAGTCAAAACCACTCTACTGATATATGGTTGGACTGATATTTATAGTTCGCAATTTAAAATAATTTTTTAAAAGTATAATTGGTTCAAATTTGATCAAACTCAGAAATTCTTCAAATGTGAACATTGGATTCATTTGATTTGCTCTTTTTCTCCAAGTAGTAGTTTCCATTATATTAGCAGATATGTTCTAATAAGCTCTTTGTCTGCCTGCCTTCCCTATCACTGTCACTTCTGTAAAAACTACTATAAACCACATATATCCTAACATCAAATTCTTTCGCATCTAAACTACCAAATTCTGAGGGCTATAACAATAACTGTGTAAAACATTTTGGGGACAAGAATTCAAACTCCACTTGAAGCCAATTGCTTCTGAGATTTAGTTATATTTCAGGAAGAAGAACGTATTCTCACAGTGAGCTTCATATTACAACATGGACCCTTAGATCAAAAATATAAATAAATAAACAAAAAGCCACTATACAATAGAGAAGAAAGAAAATGAAAATTACTCATAATCTAAATATTTGGGGAAAAGGAAGAAAAGTACTGTTAATAGCTTTCTTTATAGTCCAACTCTCACATCCATACATGACTACTGGAAAAACCATAGCCTTGACTAGACAGATGAAGTATAACCTATGTCAATAAAGCTATAAGTAATTTCCTAACTGGCCCATGAATCTGATAGAGTTAGTTGAGTCAGTTGCAACTCACGCTAAGGCACGTGGAAGACATGAACAACACAATTCAATAATAAATTAGTTTGAAATATCCTCCAGCCATTCTTCAGCTTCCTTAGTTCTCTGGCCCTTACAGAGAGAGCACGAGGTCAATGTTCTAGCACTGACAGAGGAGGTAGAACCTGACCTTCCCTTTCCTGGCTTTCAGCTAACAAAGGAAAGACTAGTACTAGTGGCACAAGCCGTGAGACTTCCTACCAGAATATTGCCTGTGCAAAAACAGAGCATAAAGTTCTATTTTTATCCTCCCCACCAATAAGAAGAATTATAAATTCTAAAGAAAAATCTACCGTATTGAGTGGATTAAAAAGAATAAATATAAATTAGAAAAGTGCACTAACAATATAACAATTTGCCACCACCAAAAAGATAAAGCAAATTGTTGACGCATGACAATTCCCTTGAGGACTGGCTCCCTATTAAATGATCATTGGAGGAAAGTTCAGGCATCAGGATTTGGAGGGAGAGCACTGCTCAGGATGAACTGTGAAAACTTAGAAATTCTCAAATCAATAGACAGCATAAAAGTATCTGGAGTCTGCTGCCTAATGCCTTAGAGAGTCAGTGGAGGAAAGCTATCGCTATGATAGTAGTCTGCAGAAATGCCCTTATCTTACTGACCAAAGCACTACTTCAAAAGTCAGTTTTGACATGTGATGTAAATAAATCACTTCCAATCTTGTTTGGAATAATGCAAAGATAAATAAAACACTGAAAAAAAATATCAGTAACACTGATATTTGAAATGTAAATATTTGAAGTCTCTTCACATATAAAATTCTTTTTAAAACTTCAAAAATTTACAAGTAGAGAGTATTGATCTGAGGCTATGAAACTTTCTTCCTTCCACGCAAATACTAAAAAATGGCAATTAAAAAACTTGTATGATGTCTTTATGTCATCTTTGTGTAATTAATTAATATGCATAGTAAAGCCTAGAAGGATATACACTAACATACTCACGAGGGTTATCCTTTTTCCTTCTACTTCTGAAGTCTCCACGCAAAGATGCATTACACAAAAATTATTTAACAAATTAACGTGCTATAATATTAGTACATTCTCACTGCTGCTGCTGCTGCTAAGTCACTTCAGTCGTGTCAGACTCTGCGATTCTATGGACAGCAGCCCACCAGGCTCCTCTGTCCCTGGGATTTTTCAGGCAAGAACACTAGAGTGGGTTGCCGCTTCCTTCTCCAATGCATGCAAGTGAAGAGTGAAAGTGAAGTCGCTCAGTTGTGTCCAACTCTTAGCGACCCCATGACCGCAGCCCACCAGTCTCCCCTGTCCATGGGATTTTCCAGGCAAGAGTACTGGAGTGGGGTGCCATTGCCGTCTCACTGGAGTCTAACAATTTCTAAAAAAAAAAAAGAAAGAAAGAAAACTTGGAAAAAATATTCCAGACTTGATTTTACGAATTGCTGTCCACTGTATCTTCTATTACAGGTCTGCCACTATAAAGCCTCCCTGGATATCTCTTGGTGAGGACCTGAATCACCTGCAGTGTTTCTCAGAAATGCCATGCACATTTTGAATAAAATGGTTCTTTACTGTGTGGGATTATCTCACCTTTTAGGGCACTTAACATCCCTCACTCTTGTAGTCACTGGTAGTGATTACTCCCTTCCAATCAATCTAACAGCTCAAAACATACCCCCCAAGTTTCCCTACATCCCCAAGATAGGTAATAAGGCCTTTGGGGGAACAGCTTGAGTTTTCTATTATAAGGTGGATGATCAGAGTAAACAGAGAACAAAGAAACGGGTGGAACTAAAGCCTCAGTGAAGCTTCTAAGAGTCTGTCATTAGTTAGTGTTCAATAAATGCTATATTTATCATTAATCATCATCATCATTATAATTATTTGTGATTTCCTTTTCAAGCACAGCATCAGTTCAGTTCAGTTCAGTCACTCAGTTGTGTCCGACTCTTTGCAACCCCATGAATCACAGCACGCCAGGCCTCCCTGTCCATCACCAATTTCCAGAGTTTACTCAAACTCAAGCCCATCAAGTCGGTGATGCCATCCAGCCATCTCATCCTCTGTCGTCCCCTTCTCCTTCTGCCCCCAATCCCTCCCAGCATCAGGGTCTTTTCCAATGAGCCAACTCTTTGCATGAGGTGGCCAAAGTACTGGAATTTCAGCTTCAGCATCAGTCTTTCCAATGAACACCCAGGACAGATCTCCTTTAGGATGGACTGGTTGGATCTCCTTGCAGTCCAAGGGACTCTCAAGAGTCTTCTCCAACACCATAGTTCAAAAGCATCAATTTTTCACAGTCCAATTCACATCCATACATGACCACTGGAAAAACCATACCCTTGACCAGATGGACCTTTGTTGCAAAGTAATGTCTCTACTTTTTAATATGCTATCTAGGTTGGTCATAACTTTCCTTCCAAGCAGTAAGCGTCTTTTAATTTCATGGCTGCAAGCACAGTATATCAAATAGCAATCCTGTCCAAAAGTCCAAGACTTTAAACTTACAATGATTGCCCTTTAGTCGACTATATACTATGCTCTGTACGAAGCAAGTTATTCCTTCTTTAATCTGATAATGATCAATTTAAGACCTCAACAATTCTTGCCCCACAGTCAAAATCTGGACCTCACAAGTTGTACCCATATTTCTAGTATGAAAATGATTCTGTCATTGACAATGTAGTTTTCAGTTGAATCATCAAAATTCTCCACGAATGTATGTTTTTACAAACATTTATTGAATTGCAAAATAAAATACATTGTAAAAGTTATGTTGTACATGTTCCTTTGGAAGTTTTCTGCATGGGCTGAACTAGTTGTATTTTCTCAACATATAATTCTATGGACATTTGAACCAAAAATATTTTTTCTTGGCTTAACATATCTTCCTGTTGTTAAGTGAAGCTGTTTTTCATTGATAAAAGATCACCCCTCTAGGATTCAAAATTAGAATTAACTGTCTTGACACTACTGTAGATTACATACACAAAAGGTTTGAGACATCTTTAAATGATAACCCTGGAACACCTGTTGTCTGGGCTTGTGTTGGTATAAATCACTCCCTTGTGCTAAGCGCTAAGTCACTTTCAGTCAAGTCCAACTCTTTGAGACCCCATAGACTGTAGCCCATCCGGCTCCTCTGTCCATGGGATTCTCCAGGCAAGAATATTGGAGTGGGTTGCCATTTCCTTCTCCAGGGTATCTTCCTGACCCAGGGACTGAACCTGTGTCTCTTATGTCTCCTGCATTGGCAGGCGGGTCCTCTACTGCTAGCATCATCTGGGAAGCCCCTTAGTGGAGATAAATGCAATTTTGGCAGTTAATGGGGAATTGTGGTAGGCAGGGGGTGTGAGGTTCTTACTAATGATTCTTAAGAGATCCAAAATTGATGTATGCCAGTTTGCCATAAATTGAAAGTTACGTTCTGACACATGACTTGGTCACCTGTGTTCTGATATGTGACATTTCTGATAAACACTGCACATTTGTTGACAGCAAAGCCCCTACATACTTCTCCACTTCCTACATGGTTCCAGCAGCCCAGGCTGTCACATACTGCTCACTGCAAATCTCAGAACAGGTGCAGCTTAATTGAGGGAGAAAGCGCTGAAGAGGTGTCTGATCTGAAAATGAAATAATCCCTTCCTAGAACTTATTCTCATCACACACACACAAAAGAAATGAAAATTATGTAATGTGATAGTGGTATTAGTACTACATGATTATCAGATTACAGTATATAAATGTATCAAATCAACATGCTGTATTGTTGGGGCCAGTGTGAAGAAAGCAGGAGAGATGCCACCTTGAAGGCTGTCATTGCTCTTAAACACAGGATGTGAACAGGGCCTGAACCCTGCCCAAGAGTGAGGAAACCATTGTTGTGAAAACCAAGTCTCCTAGTGACTTCCCTCCCTACAAATGACAAATGGAGATTGTAGTTGAGGTCAGGCAGCCCTGTTAGATTAACCATGGAGACATCTCCCCTTGATGTATAAT